TGCTTGGTTGGTCTGTGTACGTGAGCCCTCTCTGTCTGTGGTGTACCCTCTACTCTGTGGTGTCAGTGTGCTTGAATGACGAAGTGACGCTCGAGAGATTTTGCATGTTTGCATGTCGTTCGTTCAAAGAATCGATGCCTTGACGTAACGCTCCGAGCAAACAAACACACGTCGAGTCTCCTTGCCGCACGCACGCAGTCGACATACACATAGAGTCACGAGTGTGCACACATCGACAGCTCGACGCACACGCGCCATGACAGCTACCGCCCCTTACTACGGTCCCTCCGACCGACATGCATCACCATCTGGTGCCTCTGCTCTACTCGTCCTCGCCGTCCTCGTTGTTGTTGTCCCCCTCAGCCAGCTCGGCCTTGATGCGGCGGGTCGTGTCGGAGAGGCGCAGGCGGCCGATGACGTTGGGGCCGTCAGGTGCTGCAGGGCGTGTGTGATGCGGCCCTCCACCTCCTCCGACTCGTCCTCCCACTCCTCGTTGATGGGGTTCTTGTTCTCAAAGCTATGGGAAGATAGACACACAGCATCACCGCTGCATGCATGTGGTGTGTGTCTCCCTCGCTTCGCTGCTTACCTCTTGAGGATGATCCCGAGGTGATGGGCCGTGAGGTCCCATCCCTCGGGCACCGCACCCGTGTCGTCGTTGATGCCGAACAGCGCCGGCATCAGGCCAATGCAGTTGGCTGGGTCGGTGATGAGGTACGACTTGCCGCGGATCTCCTCTGAGAATTGGCAGGGCGGCAGCGGCAACTCGTCGAACCACTTGAGGATGACGGCCTTGAGGTTTGGGTGGATGGTGGTGCTGGCCTCTACCATCTCTCTGGCCCTGTCCCGCAGCTCCTGTTGGTTGTTGGTCTTGGAGCTGTCGTCCCTCGCCGGCAGGTTGTTGCCCTTGACGAACGAGCGCTCGACGGGCGTGAGGCGGAAGAGCTCGGCGATGGCACAGAAGCAGCGGGGCAGTCGGAGGGGCGGGGCCGGGCCGCCTCCGTTCTTCTTGACCATCTCGAGGTAGTAGTAGAGGCCCTGCTTGAAGAGGATGGCCCGCCCGTTGACGACCTTGAGGACGGCGGCCTTGCGCTGCTTGATCAGCTTGTAGATGGGGAATAGGACGCATTTGATCCAGATAATGATGCAGACGATGATCTTGGGGCAGAGGCACCAGATGATGATGATCATGTCTGCAAATATCCACTTGACGTTCCACTGGTCGGTGACCCGCACCTGGCCGTGAGTGAGGTCGGCGTACTCGCAGAACCGGGGCAGGGTCACCTCCAGTGGGATGGTGATGTGGATGTTCTGGAAGTGCTGGCGGGCGCTGAAGTGCAGCAGGTGGGCAAAGACCTGCAGGTAGCTGGCGAAGCCCTCAAATCCCTACCGTGGCACCTCTCCATGGGCGGCCTTGTTAACCCGCTGCGGGATGATGTCGGGGTGGCGGGTGCGGTGGCTCTGACGATTTCTAATCAGGGCCTTGACTTTGTCGGCCGAGGGGGGCGGCATTATGGTGGCTCAGGCGGGCTGATGGCGGCGCTCCTTGGTTGAGTTGGTGGTGGTGGGGGCGAAGAGGGCTTTCTCTCACGCTCTCTGTGGCAGAAAATATCACTGGCTGTCGCTTGGACGCTTTGCGGGAGCCGCACGAGAGAGAAGGATGCACCACAATTGTCGCAGATGCATCTAACGCGACTTTTGGCCAAGATCGTCACGCGCTGATCTCGAGACCATCATCTCACCTGATGCCAACAAACAAACAAACACAGCACGAGTGAGGCTGTTTCATCGCTGTTTGATAGGCTCTCTCATGTGCAGAGGGGCGGCGATGCATTGGATGAGTCGACAGTGACGAGCAGGCGACCGGCTGACATCGACCGCTCAAGCCAGCCGAGACTCGCAATGTGACTGTCAACTACCAACACGGCACGAGGAGGCTGTCAGAGGGTGGAGGGAGAGGCGTCAGCAAGCTCCTGAGAGCCATTGCATTGCAAAGGTGTTCGCTCACTCTTTCACTGTACGGGAGGGTGGGCAACGTGACGGGCAGACACTCAAAGAGCTCTCACGGTGTGTGTTTGTATGTGTATGATGTGTATCTCCACGCCCGAGAGCCTTCTCGTCACTTGCACTGCTTTGTCTGTGTGTATCAGGCCGATGGAACAACGCTCACGAGCCGAAACGCATCGCTGGGCCAAGCAGAGTGATGGGCGGCGAAGGGGAGGGGCGGCTGTTGCTTCACATGGTGGCGGAGAGCGTGCCAGACACTCACAGGTGAGAGGGCGGCAAAGCATGGCCAAACGGTGTCTGATTGTGCTTGTGAGTGGTGTGATTGTGTTGGGTGATGTGTACAGGATGGTGTCAGAGCGACAGAGAGTCCAAACGATGGAAGCAACCTAACGCCAATCCGAGGGAAACAATGGTCGCAAGCAAACAATGCGCAAGATCCGTCATGATTTCACTGTGTTTTGCTTCGTTGTGTGTGTACAGGGTTCGTCTACGCGTCGAGGGGTGCGTCACGTTCGTCACCGAAGGCGAGGAGAACAAACGAGGTGCGCACACGTGAGTGATGGATCTGTATGTGTACTGCATCGTGTTGGGCGTGCGACTGGCCTGCGATGCGCTCGTCTGCGTGTCTGTGTACTGTACACGTGTACGGATTCACTCACTCGTTCACAGCGTCTGTGCTCATCTCGGTTCTCTCTGTGTGCGTTGAACTGCTCTCTGCAGGCGTGTGTGTATTGTACGATCAGACGTATACGTGTGCGCCGTCGCGATCGGCCTCCCTCCGTCCTCTTCCCCGTGTTGGCAAGTACCACACACGTGTACGTCGACGTGCGCACGTTGCGGATCGTGTGGGGTGTGCATGTGTGTGTTCGCTGTGTGCAGCCGTCTGTAGACCTTCTGCGGCGTGTTGTTCTCGTCACCGGCAGCGGTGGCCCTTCTTGGATGGTCTGCGTGTCTGTCGATGCGCTACAGTGCTGCTATTGTGATGACCGGCCGCCCATCTCTTGCACACGTGAGACCGACCATCCATCGAGTCGAATCTGACGAGGCGTGGCGGGTTCGTGCACTGAGCAGCTCGGCGTGGCGGGATCTGGCGTGAGGGAGGTGTGCC